TCTTCAAGAAGACGAGATTAACCCGGATCAAAAGAAAGCTTCTTATCGAGAGACAGATTACAGGAGAAAGCCCTATATCAGATGGCTTTCACTGCCCTTAGAGAAGAAGAGAAGAAAAGCCCTAGAGTAAGGGAAGGGAAGCCTCACAATAAGAGAGACTTTCTATCTTGCCTAGGCTATTCGATAGCGGACATAGTGGATTAGTTAGTAATGCCTAAGGTAACCCATTCAAAAAGTAAGGGCGCCCCATACCTACTCCCTCAGTAAAGAAGAAGACATCTATCTAATACCATTCTTATCTTTCTTATCTTGATCTAACGGCCGGGGAAGACCCATAAAGAAAGAAAGAGAGAACTCAAAGAGCAACTGCAACCTAAGAGCGGATAATAGCAGCGGATATATCGCTTTCTGTTTCCGCTCTATCTGCCAAGGGGAAATCCCGGTAAAGGGAACCCCGACCCCGAGAAGACCGTACTCATGTGCAACTAATTCAATAGGACCGGTTATGAACCCAAGAGCGGATAGGAGTACTCATACTCAAGGACCGGAAGCTCTCACAGCGTCAAGGCAAAGAATAACTCCTATTGGAAGAAGAGCGTTTACGATCAGAGCTAAAAGAGTGGGAGGGAATGAAATAGCAATAGCCGCTACTTCTGTCTGCGGCTATCTTCTCCTATTGATTAAGCCCTTCAAAGGCATTTTTTTTCTTTCTTCTTTCTAAAGGCAAGGCTAAGCCATCCGCCCTTCATTGCAGGGTAAAAGGGGAGACGGTTCCCAAGGGGTGGCTAGTTCGAGTAAGAGAGACAGATACAGATAAGGTCCTTTTTTCTGAGAGACCCGCTCTTGACTTTAATCATACCCACTAGTAAGCGCAGTGGATGCTCCTTCATACAGGGCACAGAGAGGCAAGTGATGGGCACTACTCATCATAAGAAAGCAGTCATGCAGATAGAAAGAGTAAAACAATGACTCTGACTAAGTAAAGAGATGAGGTTTTTTTTTCTCATCTATTTTCCATACCACAGCTCTAGACTTGTGCCCCTATTCAAACTATCTTTCAATCATACCACCCTTGTGGGTTGTTCGCAATTCACATTAAAGACCCTTTCCAAAGGTTGAGTACCTTGGCTCGGGTAGGTGGTGCTGGGTTCCGTGTCCTTGGCAGGCTCGACCATCGGAGATCCGTTCATTACGAACGTTTTTTCTCGATGTGGACCAAGCTCCGACTTCCTTTTTAGCTTTGGCTCGGAAGAGGTCGGCCTTTGAGCCCGTATTGGAAGGGGATCTTGGTTTTTTTTATTATAAAAGAAACCCCAGGAGTTACGTCTTATTCCCGAGGAGATGTTTGATCTCCCTAGTCTAGGGACTTCTTGTAAGGGCCCCTTATTTATGGAATGGGTAATGTGTTAAAGGATAGCTTAGGTACTGCAGTTGGTTTGGAATTAGACTACCTTAATATCAGACATCAAAGACAACACAGAATCCAAGTCCAAGACTTGAGTGATAATGCTAGAGAACGTATCCTTCTTGGCAAGGCAAACAACCTTTGCCAAGGTTCCGAAGGAAAGATAGATCTGAACTAACACAATCACTATAATCATCCCTCTTGTATGTATATAAGTTTTTCGATGAAAAGAGGGGATTATGATACCCTAGGAGCGTGTCAGAAAGATGGGTACGCGAAGTGAGTAATGGTTAAATTCTCCGCCACAAGCCCTCTGAAGCGAGGATGCACACTGCTTTAAATAGAAAGCGCAATGCAACATCCCCGAACGTCGGGCCGTCCTCATTACCGTAAGAGCAAACAGGTAAGCTCCAATACATAACTCCTTAGTACGTCAGCGGCTATCAAGATCGCTTTGTTAAGCAGTGACCTTAATAACCGAGAGTCTTCTAAAACTCTCTGCCACAAACTAAAGAATTGAATTACCTTGCGCCGGTATCATTTCGCTTGAGCCGGGAACTCCTGTTTACCTTGAGACAGGTATTCCTTCTTATAGATATCACCGAAAAAGCGGAAGACTAAGAAGACTTTGTCTCGCCCACGCCCAGGAAAGAAAAGATCAGATCAGCAACGGCTTTCGAGTAGAGGATTTTTTTTCTTTTCATTATTCCCTCGGAGTTGAGTTATAGTTAGCAGATGGGATCTAATTCATTAGAGGAAGGGATGGTGATTAACTGATAGAACCTCTTCTCTTCTTTCAAATCGCATCTCTCAAGTGAGAAGAAAAGGCCCCCCACGGAGCGGTGGGAAAGCAAGGGCGTAGCAGGAAGAAGAAGTATGAAAGCAGCAAATCTTTCCTCCTCTGATGAGGCTTAGTTCAGCTAGCCCTAGACAGATCACATCTCATTAGAAAGGCAGGTATTTTCATTTTTATTTAGGATCTTTCTTATTTACCTTTAAGGCATCCTATTCCCCGTTTTGACTTTCTTTTGGAATCGTCTTCTTTTAAATAAGATCTTCTCCCTTGTTCTTCCCTCTTCCTATGATGAAGACCTGCTAAGTGATTTCCGAAAGCTCCCACTATGACTAAAAAGCTCCCAATAGGCCACGTAGCAGCTTAAGCTTATATTATAATAAAGTAAGTAGGAAGGAGCGAAAGCTACTCGACCAGACGGGAGAGGCGACCAAAGGAAGCTGGTTCACCTTCTCTCCTCCGTTACAACATAGGTCGTTCCAATCCCGGATGAAAATATTCCTAAACTGAAGTCAAGGAGGAAAGTTCCATCGTGTCCTTCAAAGATCGATCTGATAATTGCGTATATAAGGTTTTACCTAACTAGCCCTAAAGGTAACTTAAAATCCTCAAGCTCTTCTAGATACGTTTTCTCGGGATTTTTGCTTTCATTAGAGTGGTATCAGAGCTCTATTCTGAAGATTACATATAGAATAGTTCCTCTTACGATTAGTCGTAATTATTTATTTAATAGTTAGATTGGAATTTACCCTGATGAAATCCCTTGTGGGCTTACGAAAAGAAAGATATCCTTAAAGAAAGCATTACACATGAAGAAGAGTAGGCTTGCTTCTTTCAAGGCCACTCTACTGAATTCCTGACAGCAAACGAGCGGAATACTTGACCCAGGAAATACCCCGAGAAAGAGGGATCTCCGAGATCCACGGGAGATATGTCTTTTGTAGGTGCTGAAAAGGTGTAGTTAATTCACTACAAATAGACTGAACACCGTAGTAGGAGCTACATCTCTCAAAGATCGACTCGAAGGTAGCCATACTTATCTTACGATATAAGTGGACTACCCGCGATATCGAAAACCATGAGAGATAAAGCAGAACCGGTCAGCCTTTGCATCACGACGTCGAATCATCTTTCGATGAAACGACGGTATGATGCGAGGAAGCCCCGTCCGCGTCAATGATACAGCGGGTGATAACTCTTTGACTCCAGGGATGGCCCCATCTCGGCTGTGGATCTAATCAGCTCCATCTGACCGCCAGCCTCCACAGTGAAGCTTCCGGCTACAGCTTCCACTGCAGGACAGGAGTTGAAGTGAGTGCTTCAGGTGGATAAGCTTCGGCGCTCTCAACCTGGTTTGGATCGTTTGACTATGGCTCCGCGTTCTTTACAATCATAAGCTCGATCACGAGGGTCCAAATCAGGGTCTCCATCTCGCCTTATTTATTAACTAAGTTCGGGAAAAGAAAAATTTGCATAAGTTATAGGTATAGCTCAGGAGATGAGATTGGATCCGCATCATCTGGAACTAAAGAAGCTTCGGGGTCTTGATTTCCATTCTATTCTTCATATGGAATTAGAACCGGGCAACCCCATGATCGTGATTTGATCATCATTAGGTGGTGAGAAAGCACGCCTTATGACGAAGGGGGAGCATTACGCCCGATCAAGACAGCAGTCTGCCCTCTAATAGAGGGTGCTATGGAAGAAATTAGGCACTGAACTGAGGTTTAGTAGTGCTTATCACTCAGGACGGCCAGACTCCAGTCGTCGGTTTACTGGAAGACTTGCTGAAGAGCTTAGTGCAAGGGAGACCGAGCAAGGGGGATAAGTTCTTCCAACTGCTGAGTTTGCCTATAAAAAGGATGTGAATCGGCCTATGTTAAGTAAGGGGGGAAGTAAGCATTCGAAGTGGTGTATGGTAAGAGGACTAACAATAAGGGGGAAGCGCAGCGATCAAAGCTTTGGTTTAGGGTCCACTTGGTTTAAACGAAAGAAGAGATCTTTCTAGCGATTCAGTTCCTAGAGGGTTCCAAACCTAGCCTTCCAATATGAGAGCGAGACAAGCAAGCCTGAATCCATCCAATGAAGGAAGTGACGCTTGCTACGATCAATATCCGAACAAGACCTTGACTTTGAATCTAGATTATGGGTGGGACCCCCTCTCCCGCGCGATTTGATCTTTCTCCCATTTGCCGAGTCGAGCTATCACCCCGATTGGAATAGATATACACAGCCCCTCTACCCCCTACTCTAGTCAGCTTTCTATCTCTTTCTCCAACCTTCGATGATCCTCCTGCAGGCAAATCATCGAAGTCAAGAAGAAGTGATGGGCCTGATCTTCCGATATCGATATCTGATCCCTAAGCTGAGCTCCAAAGTTTGGATTTCTTCCTAAAGCTAAAGTAAGGGCAAGGCCCCGGTCGGTTCTCCCTTTCTTTCCTGGTTATCTGTTCTCTAGTCGTATAATCATACCATTCTGCCATACTATTTTCATAATTCATTCCACGTGGAAAATCGTCTAGCTAGGGAACTCTTCATCAGACGATTTCTCATATGATTATTTTCGTGAATTCGACGTAGAAGAAGTTCGCCTTGCCTCCCTTTATTAAGTACTGGGCTAAGGGCGGACCCCTAACCTAAGAGTTCTGGTTATGACCAGCCGAAAACAGGCCCTCTAGATGCCTTATAACCGTCCTTTTAGCCTATTCCCGCTTATGCGTACTTCATGGCTGATAGGCCTACAGACGCTTGACGCCCCGGAATAGCCTTGCTTTCGCGTTCCCCCTCCTTCCTTAGATCAGGTTAGCACTTATGCTGCTTCACGCAACTATATTCAATCAATTGAGTAGAGAGGGCAATTGAATCAGTCGTCATCCTTCGCTCTTGTGCTAAAGGCTCTCTTACCACAGGTCGCCATTCCATCCTTTTTCGAAAGGGTAGATGCTTTTCTCCTCGATTCATCGAGATTTCAAGTTGACATCTCGAACATAATCCTGTTGTTGGTAATGGCCTTGGCGAATGACTTGCCACGCTTTCTGGGCTTGACTCTTGTGGGATGTGCTCAGCCGCCTCCAACTCTTTCTGTGGGTCAGACAACTTCCTTAGGTCAGCAGACATCATATTGATCTCTACTGCTCCCGCAAACGGTGATGTCTCGATTCCCATTGGTCGGTCTGCTATCCGGAACAAACCTTTGTCCAAGTAATCTTGAATCAGATTCCTGAAATTTACACAATTATTTGTAGAGTGAGTCCATTTCTCGTGCCATTTACAATAATGTTTTCCTTTTCTTTCTTCTTCTTTAGGTATCTTATGTCCAGGCAGACAGGTCAAAAGCTGTTGATAACCTGGCGGCTGCTTCAGAGCTTCAGATGCCAACCAGTCGGCCGCGATCTTACCTTCTCTCTTCTCTATGAGTATGCTTACAAAAGCACTGCCAATCCCTTTGAACAAGATTCCAGCAAGCTTGGATCAGTTGTGCTTGAGGGTGATTAGAGGAAATCAAATGAATCACAGCATGCAAACAATATTCAAAATCAGTTTCAAGAATGACCTGCTTGTAACCCAAATCCCATGCCAACATAAGGCCACGGTAGATGGCCCAGAATTCAGCCACATTCTTGGTTGTACAATCCAAATTCTCAAAGAAAGCAGACACCCATCCGCATTATTCATTTTAACAAAAAAGACTGTAAGGGGAAACCATCTAACAAAAATATTCGTATATTCTCGCTCATCCACGGGTTTTTCCCAAGCCAAAACCTACTCCTAACAAGTTGCTGGATCGAAGTAGTACATTATACATCTGCCCGCCAGCAGCGGAGGGGGTTCGATTCCCGTTATACGCGATGTGGCGAAAAAGACTGATTCAACAAGATATGCCTGCATGTCGAGAGTTCGCTCCCTCTCTCTCAGCTAAGGAAAGAGATAGACAATTCATGTACTTCGCTATTTCCTGCGGATCTATCGTATCGTTACTTCTCTCTGATTGTGATTTCCCATGTGCCGTACTATACCGCTAAGGAAAACAAACAAGAACCAGGCTAGGCTACTCCTCTTCCCCTTTCTGAATCAACTTGTCCTTGCGCTTACCACTTCTTAAAACTTGCGAGCGAGTGTCGATCGCTCCATTGCCTGGGCAAGATCTGACGACTCCTGCCCAAAGATGGCGGGTTACGAATTCAGATTAGCTACTGCCAAAGAGGCCAGGAACGAGCTTCCGCTTTATCTAAAGAAAAAACCTCTTCCTTTCTCTCTTCCTGATCAGCGGATTCAGAGTGATCAGGTGAAGCCCCCCTTCTCGTTGGACGTGACAGTCAGTTACAGTGGGTAAACTAACGAAGGGAAGAATTTGATTTAATCACAGAATTGAATCGGGTCTCATCCCTTCGATTCCTCGCTGCATACTTCAATGAGAAAGGAAAAGAGCTTTGTTGCGTGCTTCTTCGGGTGTGGTTGCAAGATCTCGCTTTCAGTTCGAAAATGTGTACGTAGCTTCCTTGTACAATAGCTCTCTCTCTCTCTGAGAGAGTGATCGGGAAGCATTCGCCCCTCCGTATCTGACCCTGACCCACGCTCTAGCGCTCTTTCGTCGTCCAAGTCGCATACCTCCTAAACAGTCTATTTGGTTTTTAAACGCGATCTATTTAACTGATTAACTGTGAACTACGTGGGACTTGATTCTTTTTTTGCTGAAAAGAGAAGGTACGTAGGCAGCTCTCCTAAAAAAGAGTGAAGTTCCGCCCGCCTTTGAAGGCTAGCTCCTGCTTCGGAGCTTCATCCCCACATCTCACATATTGGAAAAGGCAAACTAAAAAGGGGAACTCAGTCAATAGACAAAGAAAAAAACTGATATGTTACACAAAAACAATCCAATGTTTGTCTTTCTAAGGATTTATTTTCCTTGTCGTAGTTCATATTAAAGTTGGAAAAATTCTTCTTTTTCTTCTTATTGTGGAAACGGAGGGAAGGCAAAGGTCCGTAGGAGGACAACTATCAGTATTAGCTGACTGGTGACGAGGATCATATAGTTTGAGAGCTGGATCGAGGTTTAAAGCGTGGTTATGGCGGAATGTGCCCTATCCCGCGAAGGAGAGGAACCTTAAATGTAAGGAACTTAGGTCAAAACTACGCTCTTTCAGCCGGTTTAGTATAGTAGTAGTTTCAAATCAATGCAAGCCAATGGAAACCCTTCCTTAGGGACAGTCGCATAGACTGAGACGTGAATGTAAAGCAAGTGTTTGGGAAGTTGGCCCGACCCGTTTGGTTTATCATAAGAAGAAATCTCGGAGATCATCAAGGCCTACCATATTAATGGGATCTCTGGTAGTAGGCCCAAGCCCCGGAAGACAAGTGAGTCTTAATAACATAAGCGAGAATGCCGAGGTCTTGTCAAAGCCTCTTCAATCATTGAATCATTGTTCAGCGCTTTCTCTCGCATGCCTCTGTGGTCAATGGGAGCAGCAAAAGATCAAACCCCACCCCACTCGGCTCAAGCCGAGGAGTTCCAGTTCTTAAGATTTGGAAATCCTAGTGCGCTATTGCACCTGCTAGAAAGAACAGTTGAACTGCCATTGGCCCGGGTTCAGCCTTTACTTTGAATTAGACTTAGGCTTTAACGGGGCTTCTTCCTAAATATCAATTACCAATAGATTTCAGACTGATGCAAGGCTTGAATAGACAGGAAGAGATGGCTAAAGGAAGATTGCATATTTCTATTCAAAGAAAGCCCTTTCTTTTGAGTATCTTTAGTGAGCCTATAGATGGAGACCCTACAGAGCCCGTAAACTCCCGATTTAGACATGAAAATAGGCCATTCCGGACCTTTTACTCATGGAACGAGAAGACCGATGCCACTATCGCCTCTTGGCTTTGCTTTCATATAATCTATTCGACTGGAAGGAAGGTTATACGACTTTTTGACTTTGCAAGAGTAGTTTCATCGGTGGAAGGGAGGGAGAAGGTTTGGAACACCAATTCCTCTCATGAAAAGACTAACTTCCCAGGAAAAGAGATGCTTCCTTCCTCTTACTTCCTTTATTCGATGCGGCTATTCATCTAGTTGTGTATATAAAGAAGAGTTCTTTCTTCATTCAAGGAAGGGTTCCAAACCTTTTATAAAGAAGGGGTATTCCTCTGATTCCTCTTAGGCGATGTCTGGATCTCAGTCTATCTCTTTTTCTTTCAGTTCTTTCCGTGGTGGAAAGGAAATCAATCCACTCGTCCTAACTAAGATGCCACTGGATCAACTCCAGAAGGAATTCCTTACCAAGAAAAAGAGGGAGAGGAGCGAGAGACTTTCCCTGAAACCAAGCAATCCTGAAGTCAATGGAAGAAGTCGTTACCATTGAACTTTGACTTTATATATATATTACTATACCTTTTTTCTTTTTTTTTTTTAAACCCAAGTCAGTAGGTTGTTTCCGAGAAATACGCAAAAGCAAGTAGTGGACCGTCTGCTATCGGGACAGCCAGCCCAGTCGGCATCGGAGAATGCAAAGAAGGTGGTTAAAAGTCCCTGAGTGATGGTTAGGCCAAGCCCAAGAAAACCCTTCATATACCGTAAGATGCCTTTTACAGCCTGGAGATATACGGTGGTGAGAGTGAGGTATTGAAGGGCGCCAACAATGCTACGATATTCCGTTGCATCAGAGAGAGGAGCACCCTCGTATGCAGAGAGCTTTAAGCCAGACGCAAGGGGTGTGGGACATGGCTTGGAGTCTTGCAAATGAGTTCGAGTAATTCCAAGGTGTATTTAGTCTGAGTCAAGACTAGAGAAGTTGATGTACGTTTGACTTCGATTCCTAAGAAAGAAATGAAGATCACCAAGATCTTTCATGGCGAAGTGCGTACCTAGTCGCTGAATGAAAGAAGGGGGAGGAGCTGAAAGCCACTCTTTAGTAGGGTTCTACTTTTTCCATTATTCCAAATAAAAAAATAATATAAAGAAAGAAGTTGTTTTTTCTGTCCTTTAGCATAAGGGTAGAAGGAAGCCTAGAGGCAAGGGTCCAACTCTTCCTGAAATTGCGCTTAGTCTCGCTACCTCTTTAGTTGCCGCCCCCTAAAAGTCAGTGCTTGCTGCAGACCGATGAACGTGGATTATCCAGTATTGAGCAGCGGTCTAGCATCCTTACGCCTTCTACTAGTCTAAGCCACACTGGGACTGAGAGTGGAGTCATTCCCGTTTGAATGAAAAAGGTACGAAGTAGCTCGGTGTCGGCTCTGCTTGTTGGCGGAGGATGAAAAGATCTGCGCCTTTCTCCCCCTGTGATTATGGCTCGCCCGCCCAGTCTAGTACCAAAGCACCCCGGTTCAATACCCGGGAGTAGAAGAGAGAACTCCTCTTTCTCATAAGTAGTGCCTCTCCTTCTCTACTACCGTAGCTGTCGGAAATAGCGAATTTTACTTCTTTTCCCCGAGAGACTTTATTTTCTTTTTTGAATTTCCTCAGTTCGGATTCTTGTCTGCGGTGGGAGATGCATTCCGGTGCGATGTCTCCGGTTTAGACACCAGGCGCCAACCTTCCTAAAACGCTCTGTCTTTATTTAGGTGAAGGCAAATAGGTCAGCGCACTAGCCAAAGACTTCCAGTCTATTTAACAATGAAAGACTGATTCTTGATCTTCGAGCGCTTTGGTGCGCAGGCTTGGCTCCGGATCTTTGAAAAAGTCCTCGATGCGGCGAAAGTGAATTTAGGCATCTTCAAAAGCTTAACCAAAGAGAGGTGCATCGCGGTATACTTTTTTCTTTTCTTCGGTGGGTCATGATTCCTAAGTCGGGGTGCTTATAAACCTCTCTTCACTTTCTGGCGGGCATGCCTTGCAAGTCTCGTATGGTGGCGATTTTGATAAGTCTTTTTGATATGCCACTTGGATCTCACTCTCCTGAAGTGCTATCCTAAGTGCGTACTGGTTCATCACCGACGGGTGATTTCTGATCACGTAAAAAAAAACCTCGTTCTATTTGTCTTTTTTTTTTTCAATTAGTTAGTAAGTAAGTTCTCTTAGTCCCGAAGAGAGAAAAGTTGAACTACTCCTATATTTTTTAATAAAGGACTTGGAACCGGATTGTGGTAGGTAGGTGCGCGAATAATATAGGAATTGAGCGCAGTTTCCAATGTGAGAGGAATTCGCCCTAAGGCCTCATGAGAGCCTTAAAACAAACTGGTTTTTTTCATGACTGAATTTATCATCTCTTTCCTCAAACGAAGGATTCCCCTTAGCTATTCTTTCCTAAGTTTTCCCTTTCATCAGTACGTTTAGTCCTTATAAATTACCTAAATTGTACGTCAACTGCACCTGAAAGGGATGCCCGAGTCAGGGCTAGTGACAGGAGTGAAGTCCTAACATGGTAGCCGTACTGGAAGGTGTGGCTGGATCACCTCCTTTTCAGGGAGAGCTAATGCTTGTTGGAAGTCTGCTCTTTCCCTATCTTTGCTATCGATCGAACCATCTCGAAAGCACTAGGATCCGGATCTGTCTTATTGACCGGCTTTGGTCGAGCAACCGCTACATTTCTTGAACGGCTACTGCCTACATAACCCCTCTCCCTCTTTTCAAGGAAGTGAGTCTCAGACCCTATGTAGTTCTCGGTCCTTTTTTTATAAGTTCCTGACAGGTTCTTTTGTGGCTCTTCACTCCAGCCCTGAAGTAGTCTGTGAGCCCAATCTTTTTATCCGCGGTGGTCTTCCCACTCTCTTAAAGCTTTCAATAGCTTTGTCTTTGCTATCGAAGTAGGATGTGGTTCGTCGGAAAAATCCTTCATAATCTGTTGGATCTTTACAAGCTTCTCCGGTCCTGGAAGGAAGCCCTACTTTCCTTCCTTCCCCCAGCAGGCAACAACACTGGGAGGAAGACGATCAGGATCTCACGTATGGCAGCTGTTGGAACAAAGTCCGAATCCAAGAGGTACCTACCTAGAAAAAAAAGGGAAACTCACCACTCACTGGTGAAAGAGGAGAGAGAAAGGACCAATTGAAGTCCCCGGTGACCAACCATGGTCCCTGAATGCGTTTAGACACTTTCTTTAGCAGCTCCCAAAGACATCTCCTCTCAGATATCAGGTTTGAGGCCTTGGACGAGATAAAAGGCCTCAAACATTTCTTTATTACTAAAAGGGATCTGAAGAAAAAGAGTTTGCTCATCAGAAAACTTTCTAAAGACTAACTTTAGCATAAGAAAGGGAAGCATGCATTGACAAACTCTTCGACATACGACGGACCTAGCTGATTGATGTCATAAGCAATCTTCCTGGTCTAAGAGCAGCCTGAAATCGGAAGTTCACACTCAGCGTGAAGGAAAGTGCTTCTACTCTCTCTGAGCCCTCCATACAGTGGCACATCACCAGCCTTGCCTTAGTTCTCTTCTCGTTCAATGCTGTCTTTTCAGCGCTGATGGAAGCATGCCAAGGTGAAGTTGACGATCTGTTTAACCTTTTTCCGGATCTTCATCTTGCCCTATGAGCTTATGCAGTGAGTGCCGATGTTAAGGATCCTTTAGTTCTGAGCGAGGGCTTGACCCGTTGAGGAGGACATCTTCTTCCGCATCTCTCTTCTCAGATCGCCCATGATGGGACCCCTTATCTACGTCGTCGAAGAGATGGTCTTGGGACCCCATCTCCCACAGTAGACATAACAATTTGATTATTCCTATTAGATATGAGATAGCTCTTTATAGCCTCTATGGCTACTTCTCTTAAAAGCCTCGGTTGTCACCCCCGTAATCAAAAGACTTATCTTCAATTTCGTAAGGGAGACATCGGCACGACATTGTAGTAATATTATTATATTGAATAAGAATTGTAGTAGGGTATGGGGCGCTAAAGAGACATTACTGACTTGAAGCTCTGACCTCGGCTGTGAAACTAATGTTTTTAAGTTTCTTCCTTAGGATGATAGTTTATATAAATAGACCTATTTGCCGAAACGTAGCTTTCATTCATATATAGAATTCGGAAAATAGTCAGACTAAACGAAAAAGGTAAGGCTTGAACTGGCACTGCTGGAACCCACGTTTAAGGGTCGCTAACAAAAGGTGAAAGGAGGCCCTAGAGGAAGAATCTTTATACGAGTTCGAGGCGTGTAGCTTATAGTTACAGTTAGCCGACTCAATAGAAGAATGAAATAGGTGGGATCAGAGAGGGAAGTGACATCCAACTTGGGAAGCTCGGTACCACTAGTAAGAGGAGTGGCCAAAGGACGAGAATCAAGCATGTCTGCACGAGGCAAGAGATCTAGGGCATATTTCCGCTGACGAAGGATAAGAGTGCGCCCCTGCCGATACACTTCCATACCAAGAAAGTAGTGGAGAAGGCCCAAGTCTTTCATATTTTCATGAGCATGCAAGAACGAAAGAAGAGCAAGTATTCCCTGTTGATCACTACCTGTGAGAAAAAGATCATCGACATATAAAAGAAGGTAGATACTATCCCCAGATGTGTGACGAATGAATAAAAAGGTATCACAGGCACTGCCACGGAATCCCTTTAGAGCACAATATAGTGCTGAAACAAGTGAAAAAAGCTCTGGGAGCTTGCTTCAGTCCATAAAGAGCTTTGTGAAGTCGGCAGACATATCCTGGATGAGCGGTATCCAGAAAACCAGGAGGTTGAGACATATAGACCCCCTCCTCAAGAGTTCCGTGTAAAAAGGCATTACAGACCTCCAGTTGCTTAAGAGCCCAATTATATGTGCAAGCGAGATAATTTATAATACGAATAGTAGTAGGTTTGACAACAAGACGTGAAGGTATCATAAAAGTAAATACCTGCCTGCTGATGGAAGCCTTTCTCCATAAAGTATGCCACTGGAGGGGTCCTTCCCTGCAATGTATGTAGGAGGGTCAGCTTCTACTTACTTCCTTCTAGAAGCGAAGGTTGGCAAGGAAGACCCATTCAGTATACCAATGTTAGCGAATCAGATTCTTCAAAAGAAGAGTCTGCAGGGGCAGCAAATCTAGTTTCCAAATAAGTCAGAATCTTAGCGGAAGCTCTTCCTTTGACAGCTATTCCTATGTCAGCTACTACTTTGTCAGAGGCTAAGTTCCCTCTATCTTCCGGGAAGGGAGTAGAAGAAGAAGTCCTCGTGACTCGGCTACATAAATTCTCACATCATCCGAATAGATTTACATTGTCAATCAAATAGAGAAAGATAGTTTTTTGTACTTACCTTCCTACTAATAATAGATATGGTCGGTGATGCGATCCCCTTTCCTACCTAATCTAAGACTAATCTTAGTTTACAAGAAGTTTTCTTATGAAAGAAAGTGGACGTTTCTTTTTACTCAGTGAATGTTGCCGAATCTCTCGTTCTATAGGAGTAATAAGCGAAAAAGGGGATTCTTTAGGCTACTCCGCGGAAGAGTCAACGCGAAAGAATGGTAGTATTCAACTTTCTATTGTCAATGTTCAAGTTCTTTGTCTTAGCTTATCTTATTCTTCTTGAATTGTCTCGAATTACCTACGGAGTTTGAGGGGTTCACTAGATTTTTGATTCCTTCTCCATTTCTGAGAGCTGGGAAAGGTAAAGATTACTATATTCTTTCTTCCCTCTCTTCTTCCTCCCTGACTTCATACTCGTTCTAACCCAACAAAAAAGGGCAGAGTTCCATTTGGTGGGTGGGTCTAGGGCGAACGAAAGAGATGTGTAGCAGAGGGCAGGTGAGGCATTGTGTCGTCGAAGAGAAAGAAATTGGCTCTTCCATTTCTTAGTAGGAGTGCCCCTATGTTAGCAGGACATTTCGTCCAAGAACAAGGTTTGAGTTAGTGCACTAACTACCTTCTTTTTTCTCGCCTAATGGCTCTATCTCTGAGGTAACCCGGACTAGTAGCAACCGATTCTAGTAAATAAGATATTCTTAAATAGAATTGGTTCTTCTTTCTCTCTCCTTTCTTCTAGAGGAATTGAGTCCTTCATTTCGGTCTAACTTCCTTACTCTACCCCGGTCTCACTCCGACAGCGTACTATCCTAGACCTCTGTCTATCCCGACATTGATAGAAATTCATAGTTCTAGTACTTGCATTGCGGTCCGTCCATTAGTTCGATGATACTACAGCTACTACTGCAACTGCAAGAACAGCTACTGGAAAAAGATTCAACACTATAGTCTCGCCCACAACGAGGAAGTTTGAGATGAATGGGAAAAAGAGAGTCATGGAAATGATAACTAGGAGAGCGGCTGAGGCGATCAGAGAACGAATGGAAGATAAGAGCGTGGGATCAAAGAGAAAAAAATGGGATGAGGAAAGGCAAAGCTATTAATCTACCTCTGAGGTAGAGGTTAAATTTCACCTTCAAGATTTCGATTAATTGAATCTCCCGCCCCTACTTCTACTAAAGCTAGCTCCCCCTTCATCGTCCTTTTTTATTTCTTAGCTGCGACTTCCTCTCTATACACAATTCCTTTTTTGTGGGTTGTGCTGTAATAAGAAAGATCTTGCTATGACCATACCGATTCTCTCAACGCTCTCTCTTTTTTTCGCCAGTTAACTATTTTGATTCTTTTAGTGTGGGCTAAGACTTTTTGCTTTTCTTTCTATTGATTGAGACCTAGCCTCTCTCCTTTGGTTCGTAGCCTTGGGGTTATACACTTTTCCTTAAGGCAGAGGTTTTGCCCCGCTAGGAAAGAATGGAACTTCAGAAACATGTACTCCGTCGAAGGCAAAGAGGTTTCAGCAACCCTAGAGCTAGTTCAACTTGAAGACTGTCTTTTTCTCTATACGGAATTCCTAGGAGTCCACAAAAGAAGGCAGTACCAAATAACCTAGAATAAGGAAGTTTTAGACCCACTCAAGGGAACTAGCAAAGAAGCAAGATGTCCAGTCACCTGGTCTTTAGGATTCTTACGATAGCAGGCGAGACTAAGCAGAAATACAAAGTGTAGGTAATTCTTTATCCACTCTGCCGGATCAATCACATTTGACACCTAAGGAAGGAGAATTAGCGGCATCTCCTTCGAGAAGAGCCCATATTCTCATAGTAATACTATGAGATAGATTAGGAAAGACTTCGTTTTCCTCCAACTCCGGGTCAAGGTTTGCATTTAGCTGAGGTAGAAGTTCGTTAGCAAGTGGAAAGTCAAAAAGGGGGTCATTCTCTTCTAATTGAACTTCCCCCCCATCCTGTACAGGGGCTAAGCTTACTTGAATTCCTTCAAATTCAAGGGTTATAGGAGCCTCCTTTTCTTGAAGAAGAGGTGCATCCCCATTTCCTTCCGCCTTATTTCCATTTCCCCCTTCGGCCTCTCCCTCTTCGAGTCGTCTTCGCTTCTTTTGAGAAGAAGGCTGTTCAAGCATAAGGTCATCGTCCCCTTTCTTTCTTTTGTTTAATTGGCTTCTTCGATAGAGGCTTATGGATAGAATTGAAAGGGCGGTGAGGATTGTTCCTAGAATCATAGGGGAAAGGAATCTCCATTTCGAACTAAACAACCAGCGCGCTTGTTCCTATTTCATTTTCTTCTTCCAAGTCCTTGCACTGAGTTACTTACGGAATCTCAAATCTTGAGGCCGGGCCTCAGATGGATTAGGCGGGGACAGGATTCGAACCGATGACTTAAGTAATTTCTTATTATACGATATCTTCACCATGGATGATAGGATTCCTCCTGGAAGCGAAGGCAGGAGCAAAGCCTATTGATTCACCAGTTTGCTAACCTACTTGTCGGCTACCCGCACTCTGTAACCAGAATAGGGCTCTGGACTTAAAACCACCCGCTTTTAGAAGTCTGGAAGGCGGCGCCTAAACTAGTCGGACTTGCTTGAATCGATAGGCTTACCGGACTTCTCTGTCTATTCAATTGATTTTGTTGCAGACTCTTCCCCACGCCTATTTGTTCCCCCGGCCCTGTAGCTAAAGTCAAGCCTCTTCATTCATTCATGGCAATCGGTCTAGTAAGGAAGAAGTGAGCTCTAGCCTTAGTCTTAGTACGCGCACTCCGACCTATGGCTTTTCGATGATTTCGATCAGACAGAAGCTGAGAGTGGTGCTCTAGCTCCCACTGAGCTCTCCTCATCGGCTAAAACTTCTACTAAGATTGAAAAGAGTGTAGACTTGTCTCCAAGGATGGAAGGATCTTCCACAAAAAGGAAGGTACCTGTCGTTCGTACTCATCGCCAACCAACTACCACTACCTTGGTCACGATTCCAGTTCCTATGGGTCACAAATGACGACACGAACCTGTATGCGTCGTCAAATTACAGTTTCGACCTCGTTTGCCCGGTTTTGATTGTCGGAACCCTTCTTAACCACTTAAGTGACTAGTTTCGCACAAACTCATCCGGAACCTTTGGAAATCGATCCGACCAGTCCCGATAAGTCGTAAATGACGGCTCGAACCTACGGGTTCGGTCAAATTACCATTTTTCCCTCAAAAAGAAAATTTCGAGGTTTCGGGTCGTCACAAAGAACATGATAAGAACAAATGCAGAATCCAAAGAGTGACATGGCAGATGAAGAACAAAATTCCGTTTGGTAATCCTAATTTTTCTTGTTTGCTATTGGGGGTTATAATACATATCACAGTGTGTATATACATACATGTCTTGCATTCATTGGTTTGATGTACACACCGGATGTGACACGGGATGTGGGTAAGTTTTATTTAGGTTAGACTTTGCTGTTTTCAGTCACAAGTTGAAGACAACTGAAGATGGAAACCACCAAAGGATGTGGTGCAGTGGATGAGGCTGCTCCGCCTTTAACCAGAGGTCTCGGTTTCGAGCCATGGGAATGGATAAATCCTTGGTAAGGAGCGCTTCCCCCAAATGGGCCCTACGCGACGCGAATCCGGATTAGTCGGATTCCAATCGGGCTACCTCTGAAGGAAGGTGGCGGCGAGGAAGGGTATTTCGAATCTCGATCAAATAGCGTAGCACGGGACCGCGCCAAGCATAGCGAGTTAGGTATGGGCTTTCTTTCACTACCAGAATCACCATTTGGCAGGGCTACTAGGACTTGGGTCTCTCTCTTGGGCGGGGCATCAAGTACATCTATCTTTAGCGATTAACCAATTTCTAAACGCTGGAGTAGATCCTAAAGAGCTACCACTTCCTCATGAATTTATCTTGAATCGAGATCTTTTGGCTCAACTTTATCCCAGTTTGCCGAGGGAGCAACCCCATTTTTCACCTTGAATTGGTCAAAATATGCGGAATTTCTTACTTTTCGTGGAGGATTAGATCCTGTAACTGGGGGTCTGTGGCTGACTGATATTGCCCATCGCCATTTAGCTATTGCATTTATTTTTCTCGTTGCTGGTCATATGTATAGAACCAATTTCGGGATTGGGCACAGTATGAAAGATCTTTGAAATCCTTGATAGTCTGGAAAGGGAACGCGAATCTAGCCACCACTTTCTTTATTTAAAGAAAAAGAAAGAGGGTGCGGGTCAAATCCGCATCTTTGCGCCCTTTACTTACTTCAAGGGATGGTGCGTCCGATACATGATTGGTTAATGACGATTCTCAACAGCATCTGTAAGATCTCGAGGCTTACTAGACGGAATTCGATCAAAAATGAAAACTTTGGATATTTTTCTTAGAAGGAGATGAACTACCTATAGATTTGTATGTAAGTGCACGATAGGAATTAAGAGAAAGCTGGCATCCAATCAAGAAAGAATCACTTCGGACAATTAGACTAAGCTTCCCCCTTCTCTCTCTTCTTTAGCTAATGATGAAGCAAATCCCTAAAGTCAAAGTAGTCCATGAAAGCATCTATTTTTTCCGTTCAAGAAATTGCTTATGTAAAGATGGGGTGAGTCTCTTATAAGATCTTCCTTTCTTCTCTTTTCTTCTATTAGTTAGCTTGGATTGAGAAAGCTCCGCCCAATAGCGCTTAGCCATGTGTGTGTAGACCGAAATGGTCTCGCGAAGCCGGTCAACGGTAGCCTAAGAGCAAGTCAAAACTACGAGAAGGGCGCGAGAAGTTTTCTGAAGGTAGAGAGAGATTTTAAAATCAGACTTCAAGTTGGTGTAACGCGTCTTAAGAAGGCAGAGACCGCCCCAGGCTTCGCCCTAATTCCCATCTAAGGTTGAATAAGATTAGATTAGTCTCGCTAAATTCGTTCTCGAATGATTCATCGATGGAATTAGGCCTAGGTCTATGAAAATTTCTTGTGATTCCCCTTCTTTCTTCGACGAAGGCATACACGCATCGATAGGGAACCCAAAGAAGAGCTAGAAAAAGGAAAGCGGCACCTTAACTTAATAGCTCCATTTCTTGTTCCTGAGCGGAAGGTACGCTCAGCCCCTGATACATTGCTATTTCTTAATCCTTGCGGCCAGGAATAATGAGTCGGTTGGCTGTTAGAGTATAGCCTCTCTCGGGGTTAGCGATAAGAGTACACCGGCCCGTGTGGTAGCGGGCGAACTAAGGATTTCGTGCTTGCAAGGAAGCGTGCAAGTGGGTGAACGCATCACCAGCCAAGCTAGTCACTTGGAACATAGGGGTATTCAATCCCCGAGCTTCTGGGCCTTGAGAACCGACTTCGGATTTGCTCCTTAGATAGTGAGTAGCAAAGAAGGGTAGGGTTTAAAGTTTAGGGTTTTCACTTCCACGTCCCAGCTCGTCGAAGCTACCGCGTATCGATTGAAATTTCCCTCCTCAGCCGGAGGCGGAACCGGCTCCCCCTGAACCATCCTCGGAAGAGTAAGAAAGGAGAAGGGAAGGGGAGTTTCTCGCCTCCAAAGAGTATAAAGAAGCGGAGTGTCACCCCAACAAACTAGACGCACGCATCAAGGCGTTCTGCCAACGAGCGAAGGCGATCGCTCAAGAAAGGGGATTCAGCCCCGGCAAATGCGATGCAGTGAAAGACGCTGCGGACTATGTGGCCGGTGACGTAAAAGATATGCCGGCAGCTAGCCAACTCCGCTTTCTAACGAGGTTAAGGCGTGACCTAGAAAACGGAAACAGCGAGACCTGGGGTCTCATCGAACGAGAAGTTCGAAGATGGAGACCAGGTTCGGCACGAAATCATAAAGGTTTGAGGACCCGTTGGTCAAAGGAAAGGGAAGGTCCTGCTTCCGGGACGGAGCCGTATGACGCGAGAGTGTCACGTACGGTTCCTTTGAGAAGGGTGTGATACCACCACCTATCAGGCCCGACGAGCGGTCCACGGAGCTGCATCCCTACTCACCTGGTCTATGCACATCGCTCTCTCCAGGAGGTTGGCCGCCTATCCTAGATCTTCCCATTTCCAAGAAGATCCCGGGCTCGATCTGGTTTAGTATCAAGGTGATTCTTTTTCTGTTCCTATATATATGGGTCCGTGCAGCATTTCCACGATATCGTTATGATCAATTAATGGGACTTGGCCGGAAAGTGTTCTTGCCTCTATCATTAGCTCGGGTAGTCCCCGTTTCTGGTGTTTTAGTCACCTTTCAATGGCTCCCTTAATTATGTGCGAGGAATTGCCCTATTGAGTAATGGGAAGCGGGCTAGTCCCCGAAAATGCCCCGCCCGTAAGTTCCTTTGTCGTTGGGGAAAAAAAAATCTCTTTTTATTTTTAGATTCGAAATTCTTCGTTTTTTTCTCCCAATTTCCCACTCTTTCTGTGAGGCAAAACCTCACCACACTACACTACACTTCGACACAAGAGAAGAGGACCGGGCGCTTTGTATCTTCGGGATAGGAGTTGGCGGTCTTCTTTAAGAGAACTTCAATCTAATACTCATTATGGATCAACTCATGTTTCCACTCTATTTTCATTACGAAAATCTCTCACGTCAGGATCTGTTGCTCAAACCGAATCACGCCAACGTTATGGAAGTTCCTGGATCGTGTAAAATAATAGTAGTACCAAAGACAGCACCTTCTATCAAAAATGGAAAATTGGCTATGGAGATTCCGTGCGGTCAGAAATTAATACAGACACAAAGGGCTTCAACAGGAAAGTCGTTTCGATCCAATCCATTCTTGGGGTCAAATAAAGACAAAAAAGGATATGTCAGTGACCTAGCACGACAAAGCACTCTCCGAGGGCATGGAATGTCTAATTTTTTGGTCAGAATATCCACAGTAATGTCTCTGTTAGATTCTCCGGTCGAAATAAGGGAAAGGTCAATTCTATTCTCGATGGAAACGGAATTTTGCGAATTCTCCCCCGAACTGGAAGATCATTTCGAGATCTTCGAACATATTCGAGGGTTCAATGTTACTATTGTAACTTCGGCCAACACACAAGATGAGACTTTACCACCGTGGAGCGGCTTTTTGCAAAAAGATGAGGGGGAAACTCAGTAAGATGTCGGAGAAGCGAAATATACGAGATCACAAACGTAGATTGCTCGCGGCTAAATATGAATTGAGACGAAAGCTTTATAAAGCCCTTTGTAAAGATCCCGATCTTCCTAGTGATATGCGGGACAAACATCGTTATAAGTTGTCCAAGTTGCCAAGAAAGAGTTCCTTTGCACGAGTAAGAAACCGATGTATTTACACGGGTCGCCCTCGTTCTGTATATGAGAAAAATTTCTCGTATCCTTTTTCGTGGATTAGCATCTCGAGGTCCTTTGATGGGCATAAAGAAATCGTCTTGGTAGCAACCACCAAACCAATAGAACAAGGGTTAGCTCCGCAGCAGGTCTACAAGCAAGGTAAGTAGGTCCATTACCAGCCGGCTCCGGACCGAAAAGACCTAACGGACTAATCCCTTATCTAGGATCGTAGATGCTAACGGGGCGGGAATCGAAGTGGGGGACCCCTCTACCGCCTGTGTCTATCTCCTGTCAAGTATGCTCCCCAGACATAGACTACGTACAGGGTAGTACTCTTGGAAAGATAGAATATCACCGCGTGAACATAACATTACATTAAGTTACGAATGTAACTCCCGAAGGATCGACCACTATTCTAAATATAGTAAGGCGGAGAACTGTTGTTCAGTGGAGCGCCGGAGTGCGGAGGTTGTTCCCATCATTGAAGTCAGGGTGTGGGGATGAGCCTTCCGAATGAGAAAGAAGAAAAGTGCTTAGTTTCGTTGGAAAAACCAACGCAAATATCATATTGACTTTCTCTCGCCCTACTTCTAAAGATAGATAGAAAAGGTTGGAGAGAATGACTTTCTGAAATTCTCTCCTTTCTAAAGCTGCGCAAGGCGGCCCCCCCAGAACAAAGCCCCACCCCTCTTTTCCCCCCTTTAATGAAGGACCCTCGCCTCGCTTCCTATTCATTTGTGGGTCTGGACCCGAGGGCCTTTTTTTTTCAAGAGGTGATTTCGAGAATCAACCAACGGAAAAATCCGTAGCCCAGGTGACTCACAGCCTCCCTCTCGCCCAAATAAATGAAATGGGATGAATCAAATCAATAAGCTTTTTGATTGATTCAGGGCGCAGCGAAGCCAAATTAAATCAAGGCAAGGGGGCTTACTTTTCCTGAGGCTGATTCATCCTATTCAAATTTAGCTATGCTAATGGAAGAGGAAAAGTTTTCAGATGAGATGGACCCCCAAGAGATGAGCGAGAACCCCCAATTGCTTAGGGGTCGCACTCTGTCCCGCTTGGTGGACGAAATCTTCTCTCCTTTTAGAATTCTTTCTCCCACACACCTTTTTTGCCCTCTTTCACCGAGGAGGAAAGAATAATCTTCCAAGCGGACAGAGACAAAAATTTCCATTAGATTCATTCCTAAGCTTGCTTTGTTGCAGCAAGATGATCAGTCCGAGAGTGCTGGAGAGAAGAGAAAGCGGTAAAAACCTCTCTTATTCGGTCACCGAGAAGTCGGACGACTCTTCAGTAACCCAGGGTGATCCGACCCCTTCGACGCTTTTTTCGCTGTATACCCCCTCCATCCTTCGGAAGTGGAAGAAAGGGTACTCTAATTTGAATACATAGTAGGGCCCCAGAACGCTAAAAGGTGGGGGAACTAGAGTTGTCACGATAGAAAAGATAAATAAATAAATGACTATAAGGAACCAACGACTCTCTCTTCTTAAACAACCTATATCCTCCACACTTAATCAGCATTTGATAGATTATCCAACCCCGAGCAATCTTAGTTATTGGTGGGGGTTCGGTTCGTTAGCTGGTATTTGTTTAGTCATTCAGATAGTGACTGGCGTTTTTTTAGCTATGCATTACACACCTCATGTGGATCTAGCTTTCAACAGCGTAGAACACATTATGAGAGATGTTGAAGGGGGCTGGTTGCTCCGTTATATGCATGCTAATGGGGCAAGTATGTTTTTCATTGTGGTTCACCTTCATATTTTTCGTGGTCTATATCATGCCAGTTATAGCAGTCCTAGGGAATTTGTTCGGTGTCTCGGAGTTGTAATCTTCCTATTAATGATTGTGACAGCTTTTATAGGATATGTACTACCTTGGGGTCAGATGAGCTTTTGGGGAGCTACAGTAATTACAAGCTTAGCTAGCGCCATACCTGTAGTAGGAGATACCATAGTGACTTGGCTTTGGGGTGGGTTCTCCGTGGACAATGCCACCTTAAATCGTTTTTTTAGTCTTCATCATTTACTCCCCTTTATTTTAGTAGGCGCCAGTCTTCTTCATCTGGCCGCATTGCATCAATATGGATCCAATAATCCATTGGGTGTACATTCAGAGATGGATAAAATTGCTTCTTACCCTTATTTTTATGTAAAGGATCTAGTAGGTTGGGTAGCTTTTGCTATCTTTTTTTCCATTTGGATTTTTTATGCTCCTAATGTTTTGGGGCATCCCGACAATTATATACCTGCTAATCCGATGTCCACCCCGCCTCATATTGTGCCAGAATGGTATTTCCTACCGATCCATGCCATTCTTCGTAGTATACCTGACAAAGCGGGAGGTGTAGCCGCAATAGCACCAGTTTTTATATGTCTGTTGGCTTTACCCTTTTTTAAAAGTATGTATGTACGTAGTTCAAGTTTTCGCCCGATTCACCAAGGAATATTTTGGTTGCTTTTGGCGGATTGCTTACTACTAGGTTGGATCGGATGTCAACCTGTGGAGGCACCCTTTGTTACTATTGGACAAATTTCTCCTTTAGTTTTCTTCTTGTTCTTTGCCATAACGCCCATTCTGGGACGAGTTGGAAGAGGAATTCCTAATTCTTACACGGATGAGACTGATCACACCTGATTAGTGAGAAATTCTGACACCAATCATTTACGAGTGAGTATTACACCAAGAATTTACAAGCGGATCGAGGAATGAAGGGAGAGGAATTAGAATAGAAAGAAAGAGACGGATTTCGAATTAGAGTAAGGGCACGCTAAGACATTCCTTTTCGTGCTTTCGATCTGCTTACTTATTATAAAGATAAAAAAAATAATAGATAGGCGGAAAGGCTTTACACAAGACCACAGAGCGAGAGAGAGAGCCTTCGCTTACCTGCTTAACCGTACCCTCCTATCGTACCTATATAGCCTTTCCTTCAGTTATATCCAGTTTCAGTTCTGCTTCCAACTACCGATGGGAGAAGGCTTGGACGTATAGCAAGATTAAATAAGAGGTATTGCATACGGGAATGATATATTAAATGAAAGGTTGGAAACAGAGCTGGAGATGAGCGCTAGCCAGAACGAAATGGACATATGAGCGATCGATTACGAGAGCTCGACCGATCAGACCGGGAAGAAGAGAAAGAAAGGTCAATCTCCGAAAGGCCTTCGCAGAGCTGAGCTTTAGGGGGGAATACTTTTTGTGGTCTTGCACATGGAAAAGTCAAGTATTCTACGCAGGCTTGATTTACCGGAATTTTTGCTTCAAAGAATGCTTTCAAGCTAGGAATTAAAGCACGGATAGCTTTATTTGACAATTAGCTGGAAGTCGGGTATGCCTATTCAACATAAACTAAGGCGCTGGGTAGATCGTAGATTGCCGGGTATGAATTCGATTCTAAGTCGGAGAATGCCCATGAATAGGGTCTTATTACAGAATCCGCTGTTTTGAAAGTAGCCCTAGACAGATCATTGCTAAGAGGAGAGCAGGGAATTTCTTGCTAATCAGGTGCTATCATCGTATTATAATGATTATTCCGACGTCAGAGCAGACGGGACTACCAATCCCAGAGTGAATTAACCTTGTCTGCACTACCACCTTAGTTTACTAGACCTTGGGGAATTGGCTAGTTACCTTCACTCCGCGTGGCAGCCTACCTACGTTTTGTCTTTTTCCTACGAGACCTTATAGTTTCCCAGCCTTTCTCCGCCTACATGCCCCCCGAAATCAGATTGGCTTTTTTCTTGAGGAAGGCCCATCCGCTTTTGTTTTCGAATAAGACTAAGGCGTGAGCGAGGGTCTCTTTGTGGTGGTCTTTCACCATCTTCCTTTTGATTGGCCTATATCTTGGAATCCGGTCTTTCGCTATTCCCACAGTCCCTTAGTCCCGTACCGGCTGTCGGTCTATCTCATATTCGCAGAAGAAGGAACTTGCTTAATGCCGGAAGTGTAATTAAGTAGGCGGCTGGTCGTAGAATAGTCTTTTCAGTAAGTGCTGTTGCAGTTGTAGAACCATTGGCCATTGATTCTTCCTCGCAAACCTTTCATCCCCGCTGTCTAGCTCTCTCGTAGTCCAAAGCTAATTCAATCGTATCCGCCTTTGAGGAAAAGACCGAATCAGTCTTTGAGCCATCCTAATAAATCCTCGTAGGTAATGCTCTTGGTCTGCCTTCAATCAGTTTCTCAGCCTAAGGCTTCGCTCTATTACCTGTGTTGTAAGCTTTCCAGTCTTTGAAGTAAGGTTCAATGCTAGGAAAAATGCTTTTGCTTCGCGGGTCTATCACCCCAATTGGTTTAGTTAGGAAATTTTTTATATGAGTATGCCCCTATCCCGTAAGCCTTCCATCGTTGCAAGCCCCTTCCATTCGGCCCAAGCTTTCTTTCGATTACGTCTGCTTCCGATTCTGTTATTCCGTTAGCCTTAGTTAGTCGTTTAGTCAAAGCCGTACGTATGCCCCTTTCGAATCGTTCTATCATTCGAAGTAGGAGCTGGGGTTGCGGGCAGAGAACTATTGGTATAGCGAGTTCATGTGCTTGCAGTTGGGTTACTACCATCCCCCTAACCATTAGTATCACACTCTGTGAAGTGTCTCTCTGGTATTGGGATAACTTCAAGCCCCTTAGCTCGCTTGTATCGGGGGGAGCTTACTTCACTTGTTTTCTTTAAGTCACTTGCCAGGAGGGAAAGCAGCAGATAAAGAGCACCATCACCTTACTTAACAAAGGGCTTATGCGAAAGAGAGCACCGCTTCCCCGAGAAGATAATCCGCTTTCCTAAAATCCCTACTTTATTGCTCTAGCTCTTGACTCATATGGCACTGAAATTGGATAGGTTCACGCTTAGGCCTGGTTATGGAAACTCTTTAAGCATAGTAAATTTTGCCTTTTCCATAGGAAACTCCAACTTAAACAGGAACTGGCCTGGAACTATATGTAAGGGCACTCTCATCCACTGGCTGCAAGGAAACAACTGGATTGGCTTTTCTAACTCTCTTTAAAAGAGACTGCTTTCAAATTCACTTGCCCTAGAACCTGCTTTTTATTGATATTGATCTAGAATCAGCTATTCCTAGTTTTTTTTATTATTCCTAGCCAGAGAAATTAAACTAATCTCGAGATCCAGAAACCTATCTATACGCCTAGCCTTAAGCAAAAGAAATCTCGTTAGCCCTACCATAGAAACTATTACCTCGACTTGGATTGAAAGGAAGAACTTAGGACTTTGGGACTTACCCTAGGACGTAAACCCCTAGCATTCCAATTGAAACTCAAGGAGATGGAACTAAACAGGCTTAGGCCCTTTTCCTCTTTCAAGGGGACTAGAGGGAATGCAACTACTGAGACAGCAACTCAAACAAAATCCCGAGAGAAAATAAAAGATTAGTGAGGTAAGGTCTATAGACTGTAAGGCAGAAGGCTTGAAAGGAAGAGCACTCCTACTTACTTTTGGGAGAAATCCTAGACACCTTAGACACCGGATCCTCGGTAGGACTCTTATTTGATAGGCATTAGTGGATTTGAGGGTTTGGGGTTTCACTCGCAGACCCAGCCCTGCTGCTTCCATAAGTCTCCTATCCTAAGTTTCTTTCTTTGCATGAATCAAGTTCTTCGACAGGACCATCCCGACCGAGGGCTAATCATAGATCTACTATGGTCTTTTTTTTTATTCTTTTATCTTATTTCCGGTTAAAAGCCTTTTCTGGAAGCATTATGTTGAGTCACTCCAAGAGTAGAATCAGCAGCTCACCTCACGTTTTAGGAACCAAATGAGGAATCACACGTAGACGGACCTGAGCATTCTCCTGCTCTACGGACCCCTCTGGAGCTAGAGTTGGGGCTGCTTGACGCTCTTCTCCTTTCGAGTGAATTGAATTACTTCGGCTCGGATGCCTTTGATCAAATGGAAGGATGGATGCCTGCCTTTAGCGACTTCGTTCGGTCATTCCTTCTTTACTTGTTCGCTATGGCTTGAGAGTTAATCGCACGAGAGAGTAAGTAAGAGATTGAAAAGAGGATCATTGGACCTCGCTCTCGGGCCCAGAGGCAGAGCAAAGAAAGCCTTAGATCTTTGCTTGTTTCGTGGTATGGACCAAAGCAAAGGTTCTGCTGCTATCGACACCTACCCAATTAACCAAAAGTATAATCGATCGAGACCGAAGCTTCTGCAATTGTGGAATTCCGTTCAAATAGAAAGCTTTTTGGCCAGTTCAAGGTCAGTCGTGAGCTGTAGGAAAAGATAGTAGCGAACCAGAAGAAATTCCCGTAGTTGCATAAGGGGGACGTTGAAAACATTCCAGCAGATAGTATGTAATACTCTTATCAAAACGAGCACTATACTCTTTCTTAGTTTAGGGCAGAAACATACTCAAGGAACGCAAAGCTAACCCTAAAAATGGAATATTACCTCAGCTCAAAGGTTGTTTACTCAGATATTTCTTATCAAAGCGAGGGATTCGTTTCAGGCGAAATCAAATCAGAAGCAATTTCCGCTCTACCATTAATTGTTGCTATTTCCGCACCCCTGTCCGGTGGTTTGAGAAAGAAAGTCGAGACATTCAGAAAGAGAGTTATGGCATTTCTAGCATTGAAAATCCCTATTCTTATTGAATAGTTCAAATAACTAGTTGAATATACCTATTCTTTTCAAGAATAGCCTCCCCTTATCGAAAAGAAGGGTCCGAAGAAGACAGAACTGGCCATCCTTCTCATCCCCCTAAGGAAGTAGAGCGCGGTGAAAGAATTCCGTCGTTCAGTCGAAGGGGTTCAATGAAGGCTGCTGTTGAGGTTTTTATTCCAACTAGCGAGGAAAGGCCTCTATGAGTGTATAAGGCAGGATTCTAGTGGTTCGGTTCGTGTGGATGCTAACGTAGATAAAGGTCGAGCTAAGTAGAGAGTCCAGTTGCTTCCAATAGCTTCCGTCAAGCTAGTAAAATAAAAAGAATCCATTTCTTATTTCGTTTTTTAGTTTGCCTTGCTTTAGCGTTCAATGTGAAAAATGAAGTAAGTATGAGCCTGGTCCTTTCGAACCCGCTACGCCCCTGGGATATCCGTAAAATAATCTTTCAATCCTATTAGTAAACTATTAGCGTACCAAAGCTCAAGCGAGCCAGTTACACGGCCACTTCTTCCTCTATTCGATTTTTCTTCTTCCCAGGCCCGGGTAGCTTTGGCTCTTGTTGAAGCATTGCCGGAAGCTTCACTCTGTGTAAAGTAAGGACTTAGCTTTTACGGGGAAATCCCCGAATGGGGACCTTAGGAGCTTTGTTCAGTACTGACCTTTTCTAGACCGGTCAAATCAGATCCCTGCGTAGAAGTTAAGTTTCAAAGCGCTAATAATCTCCAAATATGTTGTTTCGTATTTGATTCGGGCAACTCCCGTCCCATCTTTTCACGAATAAACTGATTCTCTGCTTGCTTTTGGGGATACTAGATGAAGCCTCTGCTTGGCCCTTTACTGGCAGTCCTTTGTAATGCCCGAACCCGGGCTACTACCGATTCTAAATTCTACGGGTAACCCTTCCCATGACTACTTCTTGTCGTAAGATAGTTCGCTTACCCGATTGGCTGGGGCTTAGACAAGACTTAAAAATAATCACTAAAGGCCTGGTGAAGCTCCACCTTTCTCTCCAATTCCATCCGCTGTCTCTCTTCTCGCTACCATGTTGATAAAGAAAATTCGTATTTGAGAGAATCGTAAACAGAGGATTTTGTACAGCGCGGTGGCACCATCTATCCATAAGGAAGAGGTGTACATCCTTTAACAGTAGACTAGTTCCATAGTATAGTCAGTCACTCATGAATTCCTTCTCGAATCACTACTGGAATATAGCAACTAGAAAGAAAAGCTTGAAGCAAGTGGAAATGCGTCAAGGGCATTTCTTTCTCAATGGCAGTAGGAAAGCCTACTTGAGTAGTGCGTTGGATCTACACTTGGACAGCTTCATCGAGACTTCACATACGTAGATTGCCATGTTTATATCCGAACGAAAACACCTTACTGATGTTTTTGTTTCCAGACTGAAATCTTTAACTATAAGAAGAGAATCGATTAAAGCCAGATTACCGCCTATGGTACACTAAGAATTTAATACTCAATGAGAAAAGGTGTTAACTAAATAGAAAAATCCCGATTTCGATCATCTTTGACGCCTCCTCCGTGCCGAGATTCAGTCGCACCATATCTGGTTCTTGGTAATGCCATCTGTCCTTTTGCACCTCATCCGCCGTCTCCAATAAAATGAAAACTTGTCTAAAGACTAGATGCTGTAGGGTACGTCTTAAAAGTGCTCCTCCACTACGTCGTGCCTTACGTCAAGAGGTGGTCGTGGCTTCGCTCCTGCGACCGAACCGAATCTGTGTAATCAAGTTTCATGCTCGAGCTCTAGGAGAATGGTGATCCCGTGGAAAAGGAAAATCGACAAGGAAGATATGAAGTCAACGGCAAAATTACTCTTCATTCGTTGTATGGACCTCAACTGGCTCTACCTGAGAACATAACGAAAAAAATTTATATATATATAAGATGATCCGTGATTTCACGACACTCTGAAGAATCATGACAGATTTGTTCGGGAGGAAAAAAAGAAGGATTCGAGGTTGGTTGAGATGCTCCTTCTGTGGCTGATAATGGGGAGCGGCAGCTGGACAGATCGATTTGGATATGGAGGTCTTATCCGGTCGATGGACGTCTCATTTGATCCTGGTTTTGTCAATGATGGAGATTCAGAGATAGGGACAGGTACTAGGGGGGAAAACAAGTGGAGTTATTGCTTTCAAGGTTCTTACGCATTGGAACAAATGAAGTTAAGTTTTTCAAAAGACCTTAGCTAAAGATGGAGAGTTCGGGTCCGCTTCCCCTTACTAATGGAAATGATGAACGGATAGACTCCGTAGCCCTGGGATCAATAAGGGGGAACAAAGAGATTGAGTAGTTGGTGGGACCGATGAAATAGGAAAGATGGCTGACACCGAAACGAGGGAACTATTTGGTGCCCTTTCGCCTTCTATAGCAATTCCTTGCATTTGACCTGAAGAAATATGGGATTGATTGACTGAATGAGATGGTATCCACTTCACCAGTTGGTGTTCTTTGGCGAAGGGAAACTACGAATCGGATCAGAAGTAGCTCATTAGCTACTAGGTTCAGAGGGCTAAAGAGAAGGTGTGGATTGCCTTTTCTTTTTTCAGGGGATGGGGATCATTGGATTGATTGGCTCTTTTATCCCCGAGGTTTTATGGCAAGTTCGAGCCTAGCTCCCAGGCATTGGATATGGAAATGCAGGAGAGGTGGTCGAATTAGATTGGTGGTTCGTGATTGGGCCCGGGATCGGGGGATTGGGGGTGAGAGCGTTAGAGCCAGCCTCTTTGTTTCGATCGGAAAGAAGACTTGGAGACATTGAAAGATATGGCTTAAATCAACAGCCGATCTGCGACAGCAGAGATAAAAGTTTAAATGAAATTCTAAAAGTTCAGGTGATTTGCAAACATTCCACCTCAAGTCAATCAATAGTAAGCTGAGACGGCACGGGTCTTTCTTTTAGGTCTTTCCTTACCAGCAAATAAGGGAATTCAAGATCGGGGACATCTGCTAGAGCTCGCAATTGACATTTCTCACTAAATTTTTAGGAGATTCCCGAGAGTTCGACTGACTAAGAGGCTTTCACCGAGGTCTATTTTTTACTTTTGGTGGTAACAACAGAGTGATCCTCTAAGGTTTACGTCCTAGCAACTAGGAAAAGGAGTAAGCAAGAAATCTCGGTATCTCTATCGAAATAATCTACTTCAAGCATTGCCTTAAAAGCTTCAATCTCTTCCTCTGAAACGAAACTAGAGTTCGAGTACCTGCTGCTTCAACCTCAACCCCTGGTGCAAGTGACGATTCCCCTTTCTCACGACGCTGCGCGCCTTGTTTTTAAGGCGATTCCCTTCACAGGCACCCGGCTTGAATGTGTTAAGCACGGGGTAGAATGCGTTAAGCATAAAATACCCGATTCGCCGTTTCCAGAAAGAAGGGCTCCCAGAGGGTAAGTTCCAATGGGGTTCCAAGATCTCCTTACCAGCTATAAACCAGAGATTTTAACTCCCTTTCACAGTTCTGATTAAAGGGCTTGGGACCGTGGTAATGCAGTCTTCGATAAGAGCTGTATTCTCTTGCCCCAGGGGAACCCCTAAGGTAAGAAGCAAGAACTCATTCTAATCGTGAGATTCTTCTAGCTGAGATCTCAGTCTATCTCTTTCTCTACTGAAGATCTAGCCTTCTTTTGTTCACCGACCCCGAACTAGCTTTCTCTGATGCTAAAGCTTCCTTTCAAAAAAGTGCACAGTCGCCTCCTTTGCGGGGGAAAGATCCTTGTTCTTCCTTTCACTTCCTTTCTCCAACTCTGACTGCATACCTTCTGTAAACCCCCCCGAGTCCTTTACTAAGACTCTTAGATAAGAGCAGTCTCCTATGATATGAATCAATCTTTCCCCAGAAGTCGAGAATTAAGCTTCTAAAGCACTAATAGGGTATCGAGAAGGTCATTCATTGCAACTGCTAGTCCTTCAGTATTGAAAGCAGCACATCAATCAAAGAATAGACCACTAGCAATAGTGTGCAAGAGCGTAGTCCGAACAAGGGGAAAGGCGACCCGCTTCGCTGAAGACTGGGAATCGACGCGGATATCATTGGTATAAATATACCGAATCAGTCTTCCCCTGTGACTATGCTTTCTGTGGTAGCATGATCTTTTTGCCTTTTGGAATAAGATGAATGCTTGTGATTACATTAGCACTAAAATAATGAAAGCCGACTGCTTTCTTCCCGGCAGCTAAGGGGCGTAGCGGTTTATGGAGTTTTGTTAAGCTTAACTCCGAGGTCATTAGTAGTGCACGAGCTTCGAAAGAAAGAGAGATCGAGTCACTAAGCAGAGAATTAGATCTGAGAGCGAAAGAGATTCTTAAAGTTCTCCCACGGGGCAACCCAGCCTTTGAAACAAGTTCTCAAATCAATCTATTCGAGCCCTTGAAAGCAGTATAATTTCATGTGTGAAGCATAGTGAGAGTGACACAGATCTCCTTTTTTCAAATAGGGAAAGCAAATCCTAATCATCAGGTAAGACGGGTAGAATACGAAACTGTCTATGACGATTATGAGCCCCACCTTCCGTAGGCATGTTCGGGGAGTAGCCTGCTTAAGTATACACTTCTAGTCCTCTTGCTTCCGGGCAGTTGAGGATTCCGAGGCGGCTCCCAAATATGACGTTCACCTTACAATCACTACCAAAGCCAATAATTCCGAACATTCTTTTATTCTTCAAACTGATAGTCGTCAAGGTCACGGTCTTTAATCCGCTGCTGATAAATTGAATCCATGATCTTTCGCGCTCTTTCTATTGTACCATTATTTTGTGGGTTGTTGGCTATATCCGCCAATACTTCAACGAGTTTTGTTTTACTTTTATAATTAGGCCCAACAACCAGCTCGAAGACTCGCCGATACTTACTGTCAGAAGGTTTTCTGGGGAAGTTTGTATCCATATCGGCTTTTAAGTAATCCTCGATTATTCTACGAGTGTACCAATAAGAATTTTGTTGATTGTAAGGTTCCCCTGTGTCATCAACTGGTTGTATGGGAGCCGGTACGTGGGCAGGTACGTGGGCAGGTACGGGGGCAGGCTCCACCGGTTGTTGACTTGTGGCCTCGTGTCCCCCCTCGTTTCGGGCCGATGAAGTACCTTCTCCATTAAGCCACCTTTCAATCCACGACCCACTCCACGTGGATGAAGTGGATGGTTCGGGGGCGGCCTCCCCAGGATTTTCCCCCGAAGGAACCATCATCATTTGATTTGTTCTCCGATGCCAATCTCTCTCTTGTTACCGAGCTAGAAGCTAATCGAAGCATGCTTCAACCAATCAATGTTGTTTTTTCTGATATCAATGCTAGCATCTCTTGTTTGGTGATCTGTACTGAGGTGTTCGCAAGGAGCTATGCCCAAGGGGGAGGGTGTCGAGAGCGAGGATCCATTTGCTTATTCTCGAATGGTTTAGTAACCCGCTCTTGTAGCTCTTGTTCCTATGTTATGAAGCTAGGATTCCTCTTGTTCTTCTCTTGAGCTTGTAAAGGAGCCTCAACCTTGGTATCGACGAATCACCAGTCTTTCATTTAGGGTATTATCCGCTGGAGATCTGGTGTTGTAGTTTATTGTTAGCTGGGCCTAGGAGCCAACCCCGAAGCCAAGGTCGAACGCAAGCCCGAAGCGAACCCAAGCTTAAGGAGCTCTGAGCCCCAAGCCAGCACTTGCTACTCTCTTGTTGGTGATCGTGTTTGGTAGCTCTTCGGTGTATCGACATCCCGGTTTTCCACTCGATAGATCCCGCAAATATGCTGCTAATTCGTGGGTGCCTATTCTTCGATCCAAACTGGTGATTCACCGCATTCCCTTCTCTAGTCAGGAATGGAGTCAGGGATGCCCAACTCAAGATAAGTCCTAAGGTTCTGTTAAAGTATCCTTAATAGCATCTCTTTCTCTAGAATCCTGGCTTGTAGATCTTTGGCGAATCAACAGGGGTTCTTTCGTAATTAGGTTGTTCTCCGAACCTTGTTTGTTACTGAGCTGGGTAACTCAAACCCTATCCCCTTCCTTTCTTAATAGTAGATAGATGTAGAGCTGGAGACTCCCTCGATAGGGCATCTCAATCTGGCTCTCAATCTATCGTGTAAGGAACGAAGACCATAGGCATAGGGTAATAGCTCCTTACTTGTAATTGAGATAGGGGCTCGTTCGATACAAGTATTTCGTTTCGATCTCCTCCCTCTCTTCTTTCTATAAAGAATTCTCAAAAAAGGAGTCAACCTGTCTAAACTTCTCTACAAAAGTCTTCCCCTCGCTGCTGGTCTTTAAACTTGCAACTGCTATCTAAGTCTAAGACAAGAAATTTTTCTTACTCTTAAGTTTGATCTTTCGCTAGGAGCCTTAGCAAGAATGGTTGGAACCGGTCTGACCTATGAGACTACTCGAAAGGAGGCTTCCTACCAGCACTAGAGTGGGATAAGTAAACCTTGCCTTAGGTCAATCCCTTCCCCTACTCGGGCAAGCAACAGACCTTTTTTAACAACCTCTTATGATTGATTCACTTCCTCCAGCATTGGCTTCCTTCTTACCTATGATATCCCCAAGAGCTAATTCGATAGCAGTTGCATCGGAGCTAGCTTGGAAAGAGAGGAGGCATCCTTATCTGAGCCGATCGTTAGCCTATTTCTTCTTCTCGAGTGAAGTAGCTTACTCTTGCTCTGTGCGCTAGGGAGTCAGACTATGCTTAGTTCTCATTTATGTTTGCGCTGTGTGAGTTCTAGCTAGGAAGCAAGCGCCGCAAAGGGTTGACAGGGCAGCTCGGCTGGTAAAAAAGGAGATGGTACCGAAGCGGGAGGCTCGTAGACGCTACTAGTGCAATGACTAGTCTAATCTCTTTTCTCTACGTGAACTTTTTCTTATGTAAACCCGGTGTGTTATCTAAGTCTTTTAACTAGTCCAATGGAAATCTCCTCTATTGCAGCAAAAGTAAAAAAAAGGGTACTCGCGCTGCAGCTTGCTTACCTAAAATGAAAATCCTTACTAGCCGAAGTAAGGGACTTTCTTACTGGAGCATACATAACGGACAAGGACTTATAAGACTATTCTTAGCCTGTTATTCAAGAATCTTTCCTCAGAATGGATGATGAATGGAAGCGAGATTGGATTGACGTATAGAAACTACAACTACAGATTTGATCCCTTTCTCTTAGGGAATCTCGACTAGACGAGGGAGATATAAAGGTAACGTTGACGCTACGAAAAAGAAAGTCATTGCATAAGTAATGAATGAGCTAATTTCTTATTAGAAGCCTATTTGACTAGACAGGTCTCCTTTACCGGGGGGTTCCCACAGAGAAGTCTTGCTCTGGCTTGCCAAAAGCGTTTAATATTGAGAATGTTGGATGTATTACACACTGGTGGAATTGCGTAAGTAATAAGGCTTTTAACTAGCTTAGTGAATCGATTTAAACTAGTAAATAGAGTATGTTTTTGTTGGCAGTGAGTAAATCTTTGATTCAGAGTCAGCGTATAGGCCGACAAAAAATGCTTTCCCGTTCAGAAATCTGAATCCTATCTGTGGGGCCTCCCCTTCATGTCTACGTGAGGACTGAAGAACGAGTGAATCTTGTTTTAGGGTTTATGCCCATTGCCGATCATGTGGTCAGTTTCCCCGCTTTCGATTCCGACCAAGATTTACTTATTATTCCTCCTCGTCCATTAGTTCAGTTCCTTAGTTCAATCAGTCCCTTCCTCAAAACCTATTTCCGCAAATGCCACTGCTCTTATTCCACAATATGGGATTGCTGGTTTCACATGCCACCCCTTTCATATAAATAAATGGAATTGCAATCTCCATTCTACAGCTGCTCTGATGTCTCGCCTGCCTGCTTGGTTATAGGGCTATAAGTGAGCAGGGCTTTTGAAAATAGAGAGGTAGAGCAGCTAGGAGCTAAATATTAGAAGAGCGCCCTCTCTTTTCTTCGGGAAATCGAGTTCGCTGGGCTGGTTCCCTGTCCCCGATATGTAACGAAAAGATTGATTGGTTTACCGCATTCATGAAAGCACTTGCCTCTCTGGTGGTCCTTTACCTTTCTAAAAGAGAAGAGAAGAGAGGTAGTCGCAGCAGTAGAAGGAGCCCTAAACCCTGAGGATCACTCGACCCCGACCGGTCAATCTCCTGTCATTGCTATCTCGTGCGCGAAGGGTTGCCCATGCTCCTAATTAAGTCCATCCGGGTCTTCCTTCCATCTTTAAATTAAGGTTCAGACTCAATCGGCTGTCCTCTCCGATTGGCGAACGTCGAAAGAGAAGGCGGAGGAAGGAACTGATTGCATTAGTCTCAGGTCAGGGACATAGCCATGTATTACGAGATTAGGCCGATCAGAGAATGCCAATTATTAATTAATAATAAAAGAGGTATCGAATCTTTGCTTTAACAACTTTCAAAGTTGCACTAGCATTAGCAGGAGGAGGAGCACTAGTAGAAAGAACCTCTCTCAGATGTCCATAAAGATGTTATCCAAGTTATTCAAAAGGAAGTCGATAAAGATTCATCCCCTGCTCTTAGTGCTAGCTCTTTATGCCTGGCACTGAAGAAGAAAGATCAGATGCGCCAACTCTGCTCTTTGCATGTTTTCATGAATCATTGGACAATGTTTGCGACGTGAATCGAGGCTAGGTACGACCGATTTCTATTGAATTAGCCCCAATTTCTATAATAATGTTTATCAGAATCGCTAGTTGTAATAGATCCGCAAGGGAGAAGAAGGCTAAGCTGCCCCTCTGTTGTCTCGCACACCAAGGCAAAAAGAGATTCAACAGTCGGCTGGGGAACCGGAATCTAAGCATACCAAGACTCAGGATAAGGAAGGGTAAGGCATCTAAGAATAAGGCAGGTAGACCCATACTCAGGCAAGAAAGAAAGTCTCTTACAGAAAAGGCAGGAAGAAGAGGCCCTCGCTCTACAGGAAACCTAATAGAATGGGCTACTTCTTAAGGTGGAATGGACCACTTATCATAGAAGAATCTTTCTTACATCGATTACTGACTATACGGACAAGGCAAGTCAAAGCAAAGCCGATGCACCTGATACGACTAAAAAAGAGAGCAATGGTCCGAAACCCCAAGCAATTGACCAGGAGAGGATCATCGGGAATGGACTAAGGGCCTACCAACCCTTTCTTAATCTAAGGCATCTACCCCTGGCAGAAAAGAAGACGGAAAGAAAGCCGATTGATACCTTAGCTTTGAACCAGCTTCTTCAATCCTGCTGCTCTTCTCCCTCTATATAGCGCGGGTAGCTTGCTTCCAAGCCACTGGCCGGAACCAGATAAGGAACAAGAGAGAGAAGCAGCTCAATTTCAAAGGTTAGGCGCGATAGCCACTCGTGCAGAAGGAGATGTTTGGGAGAAAAGCCCCGTCTCATGGTGCTTTTGTTAGGAGTTCCCCCTCTCCGGTATATTTTACTGTGGCAACCCTGATGGAAAAGATTGTTGGCCCCCTCTCTGCTGGTTCTCTCAGACTAGCATCAACTGATGTTAAGGTTAACCCAATAGTCAGGTTTCATTACTTCCGAAATCCTGGTGATGGATGTGGAGAGGTGTGTGAACAGAAAGATTCATGATGTACAACAAAGCCGCTCCATGTAGGAATTCAAGTACCAACAAGAGTTTGGTCCTATATATTTCGGGTATGTTGGACCTTCATTGCCTGCTGATCTATCCAATGATTTTCTGATGGGATAGTTCTGTCGTTGTGACCACAATATCGCATTACCATGGCGGCTGCCTTGTTGGGAAAGTGGTTGATAGGAACTTAAGACTGGGGCACTCAGAGTTGTTGATGGTTCAACCTTTACTGTGTCACCGGGCACCAATCCGCAGGCTACTCTGTTGATGCTTGGCCGCTAAGTGCTTTAATATGCGTTGGATATTGCACAGAAGTGCGATTGCGACTAATCGGGAGCTTGCGTATGTAAACGAAAGAGTAGACATCCCCCTTGATAACTGAATGCAAGCGAGGCTGGACCTAGATTCGCGTATGTAAGTGAAAACGAAAAGAAAGGAGTTCCCCTTCCCCTTCTCCTTTCTTGTCTAGAAAGGGGAAGAGGAGCTCAAACAAGGTTCAAAGATCCCCTCCCCAAAGTATGGTTTAAAGAAAGCCTTTCGGGTTAGTGAGGAACATGATAGTGAAAGAGAGAAGAAAGGAAATCAGTTTATGGCGGCTTACCTTCGTACATTCAAGAACAGTTGTGACTCCTTGGCATCTATCAATGCACCGGTGTCCCAATCTGATATGTTTACATTCCTTCTTGCTGGCCTGCCTTCGGACTATGAAAGCTTTGTCACTACGGCGAAGCTTCAACGACCAAAACCAACTATGGCTGAGCTTCGGTCTAGCTTGTTGTTACATGAGTCTTGCCTTCAGCAGATGCATCCTATTACTATATTGATGATCTTGTATACTAACCGAGTCCGCACTCGCCCGAGAACACGTACGTCCTCCCTGTAATTGTCTTGTCTTTGTTATGGTTTCAGGGCCTACGTCTACCCGTATGGAGCCACCATCATTCGCAAGGCTTGCTTTACATTGGACCCGATGTTGAGCCTCTCATAGCCTAGTACCGGTGAACTAGGCAAGCGACCCTGCAAGGCAGCCAGCCTTTCTGCAAAATCAATGTCCGCCTCGCCGCTGCTTTCGGGTGATTGGAGAATAGCTGTAAGGAATACTAAACGAAAGTATGCAGCGAGGCAAAGCCGATTGAGAATATGACGGTTAGCCCCTCGGCGCTTGGGAGGCATCCTATTTAATAAAGATTCTTCCTCTAGTCGAATAGAGTATTAGTCCGCTCCATTATATTCCCCATTATTTCACTTTCTCGCTATTCGAAATATCATAAGAGAAGAAAGCTGGCAGGTTGGATCCTAGGGTAGATTCCTGCTGTTGAATGATCGACTAGCTTCCTCTTTAGTTCTTTGATATTGGGTTCGTGTTCAGTGTACCGCTCTTTTTATATATGAAATTACTTCGTCCTTTTTTTTAGCCCTTTTTCGTTTGTCCATCTTTTTTTCTCCCATGCTTTCCGTTGGTCAACAACCAACCAAAGTGCTCTATACTTCTTCACTACTCGTACAGGCTTGACGGAGTTAAGCTGTATTGAGGGAATCTTTTTATCTCAATCACAATGTTTCGACGTATATTTTTATTTGATGAGGATAGTTTAAATTCCAGTGTTACATCGTATACAAATGCGAGTCAATCCACGACAACAATTATGGATTATAGCCTTAAATCGTCCGATACTCAGGGTTCTTCTAGTGGTATTTTTACGGATCATCCGGGCCTTAATCCTTGCAGTGAACGTATAGTGGAGCTTCAATATGATATACGACTGAAATTAGGAGCCTTGATGCCTAAGGAGAGTGCCCAAAAAGTTTTGGAAGCTTCCGAAGCTTTACATGGGGAAAGCAACAATATCGCCTTTCTTGAATACCTTTTGGAAGATTTGCAGCAAAACGGAGTAGGGGGAGAAGCCTATAAAGATGCGGTGGATCTATCGAAAGATCTCGTCTCCAGCCCACTTGAACAATTTGAAATAATCTCATTGATTCCTATGAAAATAGGAAACTTATATTTCTCATTCACAAATCCATCTTTGTTTATGCTACTAACTCTCAGTTTGGTCCTACTTTTGGTTTATTTTGTTACTAAAAAGGGAGGAGGAAACTCAGTACCAAATGCTTGGCAATCCTTGGTAGAGCTTATTTATGATTTCGTGCTGAACCCGGTAAACGAACAAATAGGTGGTCTTTCCGGAAATGTTAAACAAAAGTTTTCCCCTCGCATCTCGGTCACTTTTACTTTTTCGTTATTTTGTAATCCCCAGGGTATGATACCTTATAGCTTCACAGTTACAAGTCATTTTCTCATTACTTTGGGTCTCTCATTTTCTATTTTTATTGGCATTACTATAGTGGGATTTCAAAAAAATGGGCTTCATTTTTTAAGCTTCTTATTACCTGCAGGAGTCCCACTGCCATTAGCACCTTTTTTAGTACTCCTTGAGCTAATCCCTTATTGTTTTCGAGCATTAAGCTCAGGAATACGTTTATTTGCTAATATGATGGCCGGTCATAGTTCAGTAAAGATTTTAAGTGGGTTCGCTTGGACTATGCTATGTATGAATGATCTTTTATATTTCATAGGGGATCTTGGTCCTTTATTTATAGTTCTTGCATTAACCGGTCTGGAATTAGGTGTAGCTATATCACAAGCTCATGTTTCTACGATCTTAATCTGTATTTACTTGAATGATGCTATAAATCTTCATCAAAGTGCTTCTTTTTTTATAATTGAACAAAAGCGAGTCTGAATGGGTATACTTAGTCGTGGAGCATTCCGAGTATTTGCTTTAGGGATCGTTCCTGCGCATCTCCTTACTTTATAGCAGTTATTGCTCCGGTTCCAGAAGGTATAGCTCTCGCCTCAGCTTTTTCTTTGAAATCGGAGACTGTTCCAATTTCCTACTGAGATAGGCAAGCGGAGGGAGAACTAGACGTATCTTGCTAGGCAAAGACAGGTTAGAATGGATAGCTCGCGGGTGGGATTGACGGGATAGATCACTATTGCAGAAGGAGGTAGAACCGGGGGAAGAATTATGGCTATAAAGGTCCTCGCCCTCTTAGGCACATGGTTCTAAAGATTAAATCTCAAAGCGGTACTAAAGATTAGGCAGAAGAAGAACTAGAACTAGAATTCTTCGCCCCTCCCCTTGTACCAAGAAGCAAGTTCAGAACATAAGGATAATGGGCTCGTCTATTATAAGTTATTAGTTTACGGAGCTATCTCAGATATCTCGAGTAAGGAGACGGGATAGTTAGAGTTCTATTTCTAGGAAGGAAGAGACTATCGGGAAGCTCACTCTCGGCCGGGCTCGAAGCAGAAGGTAGAACGTAATATCTCTTGTTGGTTCAGCTCATCAAGCTATTACAAAAGAGTCCAGCGGAGACAAAGAAAGAAGCCATTTTTACGGTATTTTCGCTTCCAGTCCGGATCCATCCTAAACCAAAGAGCGGGGCTAAGCGAGGGGCATAGCGATACAGTGTTCATACTCGAGTTGCTCAAATCCAGTAGGAATATCAGGAATAGTAGGATCTAGTAGGAGCTTGCCTTGGAATGCAGTGAGGGAGCCCGGAGCTATTGAATTCTTTCATAACCCAAGGAGAAGAATAGGACTCTTTACCAGTATCATAACCTCTCGATGGGAAATGGAACTTAGATCACGATGTGAACCTACTTATGAGTGGAATTTCGTTGACAAGCAAATTCCCCGGGAAAACAAACTTTTCTCCAATTGAGATGCTTTCTTCATTTATGGATTCTATGCGAGATTCGGTTAGTGTGAAGTGTGATCCTGGCTCAGAAGGAAAAGCTATATGCTTAACACATAGAGTTCGATGTAGGTAAGGATGTGCTCCAAAGTTTTCAATTCCACCTTATCAACCTGAAAAGAGCTAATACGGGCTTAGCCTGCCTTTTATCTTATCCTTCTATTCTAGGCGAGGAGGGAAATTTAGAATAAATAGCCCCAGAAAAAACTACAAACTAGTCAAAGGACAGCCTGCCTTATTCTTCTCCCGTTCGGGACCCCTATTTTCTCGGAGATAGCCTGGTCTGAGCTAGAACAGCAGATTCGTGAGCAAGAGCGTATTTCACAGCTGATTCAACAACAGCCATTTTTTCTGGGGAACTTTCATATGAGTCTGTTCTTTCTTTTAATCCACTATAAAGGTTCTTAATTTTCTCCTGAATATTCAGGATAATTACATTCTTGAAAGGATCAAGGGCTCTACCCTCTCGCATAAAGTCTTACGCTCTTATCGTCAACCTTCGTGGCTTTTTGCTCGTTTGGTCTCGCTATTTCATTCCTGGTTCTCTCTTTCAAGCTTCTTTCCATCCTGGGGATTTCTTCTCATTCCGTCCGTTCTGCTAGCTGGTGTCGCCTTCTCTCTTACTTATCTATTCCCATCCATCTTTACCTCTCCTACTCCACTACTTCCCTCCTTCAAGGCGTGATTAATGCGCCTTAAACCTCTCTCTTGAAAAAGAGCATTTTTTAGTGGAGCCTTAGCACGTGAACCCATAGGAACAGGGCCCTTCTTCTTTGCAAAAAAGCTTCTGAATTATCATCACATCAGTAGGCGCAGAAAGCAAATCTTGGTATTGACTTATTGAAAATCTCTTTGAGATTGCTTAGACAAATCTTTTTGTGTGAGGCCGCTGTTCCCCACCTTTCTTACCTTGTTTTTTGGGCTTAAAATTCTGTGACTCATAAGCCCTCCGTATCTAAAGATAGATGGCTAAAGGGCGGGTTCCGCAGTTAACTAAGAAGGCGATCGATTGGCTTGGAGAGGAAAGGAACCCCGGGACTGAAAACAAAAAGGATAGGAATGAATTGAATAAAGAAAGAATATATAGAACCTTGAGCATTTTCTCCTCTCGGCAATGCAATGGTTGAGAGTAAAAAAGGGGTATCCGCATAGAAGGATTGCTGGTATACCGGGTAGATGTTTATCTTTTCGACTTCAGCGAAAATGTTCAAAGCACCACCTTCGTCAATTATCTTGATGTCGAAAGGGAAGAGGACAGGGTCTTACTTACTTAAAAGTAAAAAAAAAGGGAAGTTTCCTGTCTTAGTTTCACTTCCTTGAACTGGCTACTACCGCGCAACGTGCCCTTGCTTGGTGAGTCGTTAATTAATCAGTTTTAAAAAGAGGGATGGATTTCGACCTTGCTTTGAGTCGTCAGGCTAGTAAAGCGCTACTTCTAAAACGATCGTTAAGGTCATTCACTCGGTGGCTCTGCTACCGATGGATCAAGATATGCTGCCTGCCTATCATGCCAAAGGCGCTGCTGGTGGATATGCCAAAGATGTCCTGGCTCTGAACCGGGTACTTGAAATGCTAAAGGTACTTCTTATGGTCCTGCTTCAACCACCCTTCCTTCTCTACCTTTTTCTTCAAAAACTTAAGCTACTTAGACTGATGCTGGCAATCTCGAAGGGAGATATCTGGACCTGGAGCAACTCGTCTTGATCTTTATTATATTAGGATGCGAGGAAAGGGAAAGAAGGTGATAAGCAAGAAGAGGAAAGAAGAATGTTAAAGAAGTCCCTATAAGTACTTCACTTAGCCTTTCTATAGTCTTTCTTCCCCTCTTCCCTCAAAGCGCGCTCTTTCATCCATGCGCATGGTTCTTACTTTCATTTCCCCCCTCCTCACGTAGGAGCGCATCTTGTTTTCAAAGATGAGTTGTAGATGAGTCGGTTCGATCACCCCACATATCGACGGTTTTTTAATGCCTTATCCTAGGCCCATCTAGTTGATCGAGGGATAGACGAGTATAAAGAAGGGATGGAGAATCTTTTATTTGATCTTGATTTGATGTATATGTTACGATGCCTTCGTATGAAGGAGGATTGGGGGTACGGCAGATAAGAAGAGCGACCCAAAAACGGAAAGAAGAGTATGAGGGGCAGCGGCTCACCGATAATAAGAAGAACTCACATTCTCGTCCTGACAGATGACCAACCTGTTAAGGCATCTTTCTCAATGACCATCCTCTCCCATTCCAGTTCTTTTCTCTTTTTTTAGGGACAAGTTCATTTTCATTCCCTCGATATGGCCAGGTGTGAAGCAACTTCACGATCCAATGAATTCCCTAAAATCGGATGACACAAGGCGAACTAGAATAGGCTGATTGATCCAGGTAGCGACAGGCTCCAATCGAAAGGAACCGCGCGTACGCTAGAAAGACGTATAGGCAAGCCTTTCTTTATGATCATATGGATCGCTTTTCGTGACTTTTCTTTCCATAGGCATAGATTGCAGTCTAACCAGCTTTCTAACTTTAGGGGACCGAGAATCAGTCTTTTGATCCTCCTCGAGCCTACTCTCTTCTTTCGAATTAAGCTTCCGATTTAGTTGGTGCAGACGCTGAAGGATCAGCTGACACTAGATAGGAAAGGTTTTCGATCGAAGCTCTCGAACCTGTTCCGAAGTCACTTTAGGATTCGGTTTCCGATCCGGTTGATGTTCCGACATCCCGAATCGAGGTGGCTCTAAACTCAGGTTTGCCTACCTCTCTAGTTACAGAGAGAGGAGAGGGGCTTCGAAGCCTTAATTCAAGCTAGAAATCTCGCTAGAAAACTAGCCATATCGATCTAGGTAAGTGGTGACAACGAAAAGGCTTTTAAGCCTGAGGGGCGGTGAGCGAGGTAGGATAAAATGGTATTTGAACCAGGGCGGGGGCCCTATGTAGTCTGTCTTTTCATGGGTGGTGGGCAGAGAAAAAAGCCATTCATTAAACCTTTTGGAACTGGAGACGAAGAGTCGTTTAAAGACCTTTTCAAAAACCACTTTGTAGAGGGCGGGTATCACCCTCAATAGAACCAGACTTTGCTATGTCAATAGTCAATAGGAGAGAGAAAGAAAGAGAACAGCAAGAGGAGGCCTTTTTCTTTATATTTATATATTTCGGAAATCGAATCATCATGCACTTTAGGCCCTTCTGAAAGCCATGAGGCGGGGTCACACGAGTAGCGAAAGACTGAGCTTGCTCATGTTCTCATGCTTCACACAAACCCAGGCTAGGAAGCTTGAAAGCCATATCATACCATATGGATTTAGAAAGTCCGATCAAAAAACAATAAAAAAGGACTGGGAAGGCTTGAATGGATGGCTTCCAAGGCCAGGGCTCGATCCTGCACAATTCAGACCAGCTAGTATCTGTTTAATTTACTTAATGCACTCACAAGCCTTCGCATCGCTGCCCTAGCTTCGTGTTAAGGGCACAACTTAAAGAACAACTTACTCTATTGACGTAATATTCATTCATAGTGGCCAGGCGGACCGTTCTGAAGACGGAGGGCCCTAAGAAAGCCAGAAAGAAA